CAAACACTGACTTGTGATGTTTTCTTTATTTTTCTCTTTTTAAACACGACAAACACACAAAACTCGTTCATGTGAAGCTCTGAGACTTAAATATGAATCCACACATCATCGTCTACATTTAGTCGTTTCTTGACTTTTCATTTCCTCGACTTCGACAGAAACTCGAGGCCAGAAAGCGACGCGACGAGGACGACGACCTCGGCGTCCATCTTGTTTCTGTTTCTGTCACCTGTCCTCAGGTGAAGCATTAACCAGCCGGCAGCCATAAAACTCCACTTTATGGAAAGTTTGATGACGGCGGCGGCGGCCTGTAAACACGAAGCCTTTTACGGCCTCCGTGTTCACCTTGACACTGTTTGCATGCCAGAAAGAAAAAACAAACAAAGAAAAACGTCCAAAACATTTCTGTCGTTTTCTGGACGAATCTTTAAACGGTGGATCTCCTTCAATGTCCGGTTTTGTCCAAACATGTTCAGTTTATCGGGAACCAGAAAATATTTTAAATGTTTTAATAGAATTCTCTTCAACTGAGTGAATTTAATCGTCGACAACTGATCGGTTTCATCATCACCGCAGACGAAGATCGGCTTGTTTTCACATCTAAAGCTGATTTTAGAGACAAAATTCATGATAAAAACGTCCAATAATAAATCACAGCACGCTGCAGAACGTGTTTGAGCTGCAGCTGAACTGAATCTATCGAACACGAATGATGAACATGTTGATGTTTGTTGTTGTTGTTGATGCTTTTTTAAGTTTCTGTAAACATCAGATTGTTCTTCTTTCTGCTCCTTTCATTCACAAATGTTTGTGTCGTGTTTAATTGTTTTGTTTTAACTCAATGAGTAAAATAAAAATTAGAAAGTTGAAGTTGAGCTTTTTGATGTTCCTTCAGACGTAAACTCAAACATGTTTGACTGCAAAGAAAGTCTGATGAAAAGAATCTGGGAAAAAAAAATACTCAAGTTGACAAATTATAGTTACTTTAAAATAAAGTTACAACAACAACAACAACAGCAAAAACAGCAACAACAAAAAACAACAACAGCAAAAACAACAACAAGAAAAACAACAATAGCAACAAAAACAACAGCAACAACAACAAAAAACAACAACAATAGCAAAGAACAACAACAGCAAAAACAACAACAAACAACAACAACAACAAAAACAACAACAACAACAATCATCTGAGAGGAATCAGATGATGTTGTTGATCAAACTCCGTCCGTCACGACTGGACCAGAGTTGGTTCAACAGTTCTCTGTGTTCATATCTGTTCAATGAGCCGTTTCCTTTTATTTCATGTCAATGTTGTTTAGAAGTTGTAAATCTGCAGTTGTTTTCTGTCTGGAATTGCCGCTTCTCTTCTGCTAGCTTAGTTAGCTTAGCTTAGCTTAGCTTAGCTTAGCTAGCATATTATGATGCTGCAGGTTTCATCACGTTGGTTCAGTTTTCTGAATGTTTGTGAAGCAGAGAAGCAACAACATGAAGCATCGTTTCACTGAAACCACAGCAATCATCCACAACGACATGAAACTACAGATTTATCACAGTTAAACAGATCCTTCAGAATCTGAATCGATTTCATCACTCGGTAGGTTTTCACACATGAAGGATTAAACAATAAAGATTAAAGCAGGAAAAGCAAAATAATTCAGATATTTAAAATGATGTTTCAGCAAACAGGAACGGTCAAAAACACGTATATTTACATGAAATTCACTGTAAAATCATTTTATCACCAGAATAAAACCACTTTAAGTTTACTGTCCATCACTGTGTCGTATTAAAAGCATCAACATTAAACTAAAAACCTACAAAAAATGACTCCGTCTGCAGGAAAACTTCACGTTTACTGTCCAGAGTTGACACGTTTACATTCAAACACATTTTATACGACAGAATTAGTTTGAACCGTAGTTATTTGTCACAAACAGATCAAACTGGTTCCTTTATATGTTTTTTTTTTTTTTTTTGCATGTCTTCCTGTTGTTGTAAAGATCCTCTGAATTATTATAGAAATGTCCTTTACAGCAGAACAATATGTGAAAGCGCTCTTTAGACAAAAATCCCACCCTGCTCTGATTTCACAAACTTGTCTGGTTATTATATTATATATGTGGTGATTTAAATCTTTATGTTCATGCAGAGCTTCTGAGAGCGCCTCCATCTGGTCTGATCATGTTGGGAAACATCCCATCACTACTTGATCTGCTGCTGCCCCCTTCTGACCAATCATCTACCTTCATCTCAACCAACAAACCCACCAGTCTGTCTGTAATCAATAACCTGCTTTCGTCACAGATAGAAAACACTGATTCATTTCACTGACAAAGGAGATATTCTTGTTTATTTTTGAGCCGAACCATTTCATTGATTCGTTGTCAGAAATTCACAAAAAAAGGGAAAAAGTTCTGAAGACCAAAGAGCTGTCTCAGGACACCAGGGACAGAACTGTAGTCCTGCACCAGGCTGGGATGGACTACAGGCCAGTATGGACGCAGCTTGATGAGAAGGCAGCAACTGCTGGGCAATGATTAGAAAATGGAAGAAACTCAAGGTGACTGTCAAGCTCCCTCGGTCTGGGGCTCCATGCAAGATCAATGAGCATGAGAAAGGTGCGAGATCAGCCCAGAACTACCCGGGAGCACCTGGCCAATGACCCGAAGAGAGCTGGGACCCAAAAGCTACCATCAGTAACACACCACGCTGTCATGGATTAAAAGGTCCTCTGCTCAAGCCAGCACACATCCAGGCCCGTCTGAAGCTTGCTGATGACCATCTGGATGATCCAGAGGAGACATGGGAGAAGCTCATGTGGTCAGATGAGACCAAAATAGAGCTTTTTGGTTTAAACTCCACTTGCTGTGTTTGGAGGAAGAAGAAGGATGAGCACAACCCCAAGAACACCATCCTAACCGTGAAGCATGGGGGTGGAAACATCTTACTTTGGGGTGCTTTTCTATGAAGGGGATTGAGGGGAGGATGGATGGGGCCATGAATCGTGAGATTTGGGGCAACAACATCCTTCCCTCAGTAGGAGCATTAATGATGAGTCTTCTAGCACGACAATGGAGTGGCCTAGCCAGTCTCCAGACCTGAACTCAATGGGAAATCTATAAAGTGAGCTGAAACTCTGTGTTGCCCAGCAACAGCCCCGAAACCTGAAAGATGTGGAGAAGATCTGTATGGAGGAGAGGACCGCAATCCCTCCTGCAGTGTCTGCAAACCTGGTCCAGAACTACAGGAAACATCTGACCTCTGAAACTATCAACAAAGGTTCTGCACCACAAGTGAAGTTCTGTTGTTCTGTTCTTTCAAATACTTATTGTATGCAATAAAATGCAAATTAGCTATTTATTTCCCCCAATGCACACACACA